TGGTACCTCCTCCCCACCTCCAGCTGGCCAGCCCCAACAGGGACTGGCAAGATAGCCCGATTGGCCCCGATCGCCGGCCAGGCCAAGGGACCCCACCCGTGCAAGAATTCGTGCACCAGGCCTCTAGTATCTAATAAAACTACACAAGCAAATGTCCTTTGACTCAGTAATACCACTTCTAGGAAATCTACTCTGAAGGTATACCTTAAAACAAAAACAAATATGTAAGATCATTCATTGTAATAGTATTTGTAATTTTACAAAGTACTGAACACCAGTGGATTGATAGGATAAAATATGGTACCTACATGACATGAACATTGAGCATCTACAAAAGAAAAAAGAGAAAGATCTCTATGAACTTACATGGAGTGATTGATTACTGGAAATGTTTAGTGAAAATGCAAAGTCCATCAGAGCATGTATGTGAAGTAGCTAATAAGCACATGAAAAGGTGCTCAACTTCATTTACCATTAGGGAAATGAAAATTTTAACAATGATACCACTTTGTATCTACAAGAATGTCTATAAAAATATTGGTGAGCATGTGGAGAAATAAGAATCCGCATACATTGCTGGTGGGAATATAAATTGGTAGAGCTACTTGGAAATCAGTTTGACAGTTAAATATGATGTTCTTTATAGATAGAGGCAAAGAAGCATCGGACAGATTGTCAAACTACAGCGGGAAGGCTGGAGAGGGTTGCGGGGGGGGGGGGGGGCGGGGAAGAGATCAACCGAAGGATTTGTATGCGTGTATATAAGCATAATCAATGTACACAAGACACTTTGGGGGGGGGGGGGGCATGTGCCAGGGGGTAGGGGAAGCTGGGGGAAGGTCAATAGGGAAAAAAAGGAGACAAATGCACTACTATTTGTAATGCTTTAAACAATAAAATAAAATTTTTTAAAAAGTTAAATATGAATTTATCATACAATCCAACAATTCCACTCAAAAGAAATGAAAACCATGTCCACATAACAACTTGCAGGTGAATGTTCATTGTAGCATGATGCATAGTCCAAAAGTAAACAACCCAAATGTCCATCAGCTTTTACATGGATAACAAAACATGCATAATTCAAATGGAATACTATTCAGCAATACTGAAATGCTGATATATGCAATGACATGGATAGACTCTGTGAACACATTATACTTAAAAGAAGCCAGATTCAAAAGATATCACTATATTTCTATGAAATGCCCAGAAAAGAAAAATCTGTAACAGAAACTAGCTACTGGTTGCCTGGAACTGGGGAGGACCAGGGTGAGGTGGGAACAAGATTTAACTGTAACCAGGCATGAGGAATTCTGTTGGGATTTTGAAAATGTGTCTGAAGCTGGGTTGTTGTAGTCAGTGCACAATTCTTAAAATGGGTGAATTTTGTGGCATTGAATTTTACCTCAATATTTTTTTAAAGGACATTGATGTGAATTTCACAGGATGTAAATTACACATCAATTAAAAAATTTTAAGAGCATGTATATAAAATGACCAACCCTCCCTATTTGCCCAGTTTTTAGCTTTAATGTGAAGTTCTATATCCCAGGAAAAGTTCTGTCCTAGGCAAACCAAGATTGGTCTCCCTGTATGTATGCTACCTTTTGTGTAAGAAAGAGGGGGAATAAGAAAACACATTTACTATTTTTCTTCATAAAATGAAACACTGGGGAAAAAACAGTGAAGTTAGATACCTACAGGGTTGGGGGTTGGGGAGATGGGGCTGAAGAGAGATGAATGACACTTCTCTCAGTATAACTTTTGGTAGTTGTGACTTTTGGATGCATGTTAATGGTTTATATTTAAAAAATAAAATTAAACCAAGGACGGGGGCGGGAGGGCAGACCTTATACTTGGAAGAAAACGGAAACAAATGAACCCAATTTATTTCAAATAAGTAACACAGTAAAAGAAAAAAAAAGAATGAATCAAAGTAATTTATGAACACAATGTAATTATATATCTTTGGTCTGGAGCAGGGTACAGACAGGGAGAGGATACAGACAATCTTGCAGGCTTTTAAGTGTGTTTTTATACATTCTATGGGCAAAAGCAAGGAAAACTATTTTAGCTGTATTATCGGATTGAACAAGTGAATAAACTGATGGACTTTTTAAAGAGCCAGGATTGTGAGGAAAAAGGAACAGAGAAATATGAAATGGGAAAACAAGGAAGAACCCTATGAGGATGGATGGAATTGGAGGCACAGTGAACGCATGATTTCTAAATCAAATGTGGATATGAGCACATGTAAAATGTATGTGTACATGCACATTTCCTATTCTGCTGAACAGGCCTAGCAGCAGGAAAACACCTAGTAAAGGTGAACATACCCAGCAGCCAGGGTTCCTTGGAAAAACTGCCGATTCTAGATCCTGGAACATCTTTTATTTACGATGGTGTGAAAAAAAAAAAAAAAAAAGATAGCAGATGCCACAAGGAATTAGGACTCAGAAGCTCCTATTGGCCAAATCTAAGACAATTAAGACAAAGTAAGAAATGAAATGCAAGTCCTGGAAAAAATAGAAAATCAGGTGTCCAAAACAATAGTTAATATAAACGTTCACATGGATAGTTACGAAGAAGAAAGGAGTGCTCCTGCTTACAGCAGAATGCTAACTGGTACACGAGGAAGAAATGCTATAATTAGAAAATCACCATTTTGCAACTATCAAAATAAAGACGGAATAAGCAAGAATCATCAATGGATGCTAAATCCTGGGGGGAAATGTTAGCATGGATTTAAAGAGTCTCCCACAGATTGTGATACCTGATGACACAGCATCACCAATGTGGTATCCTAAGAATGCACAATCTGAATCTAATGAGGAAACCCAAAATGAAGAACATACTATTAAAAAAGGAGGATAGAGGAGAAGGAAGACTGTATTCTTCGGAAACATGTCACAGCTGTAAAAGACAAAGGGGACCATGGAAATTATCTAGAGTCAAGGAGATTTCAGGGAGGGTAAATAAGCAAATGTTAAAATAAAAATGGTAAAATTTCAGTAATAGTTGAATCTGGGTAAAAGATGTATAGATGTTCTTTGTACTATTCTTATTTTTGCCAATTTTCTGCAAATTTAAAATCATTTCCAGGTGGAGGTAGAAGAGGGCTTAGAGGGGATAAATGGTGATGGAAAAAATAAAATTATATATATATATACATATATATGTATACACACACACACACATACTTAAAAAATAAAGTCATTTCCATAAAAAGTTAAGAAAAAAAGAAGGGACTGATATTGGGTTGCCAATCTCATGCTTTGCCTGATAAGGTTATTAAAATGCAATCGTTAAAAAAAACAACCCTACCACCTACGATTATATCATTTTCTTTCAAGAAAGTGTGAGGGGACATTTTGAACATCCAAAAAATAGCCATTATCACCAAAGAATGACCCTTTAAAACCAAATTTAGATTTATAAAAAAGACTTATCCTAGTTTTTTCCACTTCCATGTGGATCAAGGAGAGCCTGTCAGCTTTGTGTTACGGATTCAATATTCTAAACAAGGTCCATTTTTGCCAATGGATGAAGTACAGTTTGGTGAAAAGAGCATGGAGTCTGGAGATAAACACTGAATTCAAGCCCTGGCTCCAGCTGGTACCAGCTCCTATAACTATGAGGCAGACAGATAAATCACAGGACTATTAAGAGAATTAATGTACTTAGAATAGTGCTTCCCACAGAGAAGGTGATCAATGTCTCCTTGTCTTCCTTTCCTTGGGAGCCACTTTTCTGTTCTCTGGAAAAGTATCTGACTAGGACCACATTGGCCTTTCCCCACCAAGATTACGTAAGAAACTGAGCTATCCCGAGAATAAGTCTCCTTTCTGGAGGGAAGTTTCATGAAAAACAAAGACGGAGACATTGGACAGTGGAAAAAAGGAGAAGGCTTCTGAAAACAGATAAGCTGTGGCATGGTAGCTAATGTGTTCTGCTAAAGAGGTAAAGACAACAGGAGGAAGTACTGGTTTATGTTAGAAAAGTCTGATAAAAAAATTACATGTTATTTTCATATACTCATATCTATTTTGCAAATGACCACCCATCTACTTCTAAGAGTAAATAATAGTTTTATGTAAAAAACAAATAGTATTAAAATAACCAATTCTATTCTTTTTACTGGCTTGGAAGAAAAAAAACATCATCAATTCAATAAAATGTCCATAAATTATGAGATTTCATCCAGTAGTCTGTTGTTTTGCTTCTTTCCACATATTTTCTGTTTACATCTAACAGGGCAATTTATTCCTTTTCTATTGCCAATGATAGCAGTTCTTTTAAAATCTTTTTGAAAAAGAAGAAAAATTTAAAAAGTAACTAAATTCATTATAGCAAAAAAATTGTATTGCCAACAGAAGTGTAGTTTAACATTTAAAATCTTTATAAAAAATAAACAAATTCTAATTTTTCCTTTATTTCATAACTGAAAAATGAAAATGCTTATTTACATGAATATTTGATACATAATTTCCTTAATACTTCTCTATGGTGAAATAAAACTATATATATCTATATATATATATATATATATTTAAAGAGAGTAAATAATATTAACACTCATGACAATTTCAAACCAATGAGCATTGGTATAACTTCAAATTACTATTAGTTGTGGCTATTCTTGGGGAAAAGGCGCAAAGCTTATTAGGGCCTAGCACACAAGAAATACTTAATTTTACATTGTCAGAGTTCAAAAAGTGGCATCATAACGTGAAAACACTATAAATTGACATCTCACTCATATGTCTCTTAAAACAGGCTGGAAAAATAGCCAGTACCCTATATAAATAAAAAAATATTTCCATTGACTACTTTTTGCCCAGAGTGATTAAGGACAAAAAAATAAAAATTCTTGCTGCTAAATTATTTGATAAACTGCTGACAAGCTCCCATTAAAAGTTCTTTAGACATTAACCCAAGTAATCTTGGTCTTATGGTTATATATTACATATATATATATCAACTTTTTCAAGTAAAGAAATGTTTAACAGATGTAAACTATTTATTGAATATTTGCCACCAAATATTGTTAAATACATTATCTTGCAGCATATCGCTTTCAAGTTAAAATGTCAGAAACAAACACCAATATTTACAATTCTTTTAAGGAATGTTATATAATGACACATTAAGGCGTAAATTCTTTTGGCTTATAATTCTTAAAAGAATGATAATAGCAAAAGTGATGCAAAATCTTCAGTGTGAGATTATGATTAAGCTACATTTTACAAAAATATGGTGTAAGATGGCAATAATCCCATTCAACATCCTGGATTAGATCCCTTCAGGAGGGACTGATAATTTATACAGTCAAACTTTAAAATTTACAGATAAAGGCAGTTCAATACTGCCACTGAGAAGTACATCTCTTAACATATACAACTTTCAGGCCACAGTTTTGAAGGTCTGAAGTATCAAGTTGGTTTGATGAATTAGTCGGTTGGCACTCATGAACACATTTATTGCCCTGTTTGAAGAAAAAAAAAAGAACAAGCATTAATTTTATCCAAAAAACTCATTCTTTAAAAATATTTATACTAACCCCACCCAATAACAGTAGCAATGAAATCAATTTAGAAGAAAAAAGGTCGAGAAAGTACGGAGTATCATAAATTTTATTCCAGATTGGAATTGAATGGAACTCAATCATTTGAAACTATCTAGGAATTACTGCCCCCTAGTGGTTCTGGTTGGTAATTAGGTGTTGGTGGGCTTCTAATGATGGCTTCTGAACCACCAGGGTTCATCTATAAGTCGAACAAGTAACTGATTCAAATGTAGTTTCCCGCTGTGGTTCATAGAAATTACCAAATTAAAATCTGCATTAAGTATTACACTCAGTCCCAAAATCTATATGGCAATGGGCATTATAAATACTAAAGAAAAACCTAATTACTTTCAAATATGATTCACCCCAATCTCTCATACCTTCTTTCAAAAAAACAAATCTGGGAATTCTAAACTGCTTTTAGAATGAATCTACTTTTAAAACAAAATAATCATGCAGTTTCAATATTTTGGAGCTGACAACATATATGTTCTTAAAAATATGTTGTGCTGTACCACATTTCCTATCAACCCATCCTCATGCAACTAGAGGACAGAGCTGATGCCCTTGTCCCACCAAGTGGCCTTATCAGGCTTTTAATTGCATAGCTAAAGATTTTATCTTCATCTCAGACATTTATCAAAAAAGAGGGACCCCAACGAATTAGTTGAATCAATGCAAATTCATCCCTCTACTGAAAGACAGATCAAAGATCAGGCTGTTGTAATAACTTTCAGTTTGAGGAAACAGGTACAAAACTAATGGCACATTAATCATACACAACTAATTGTAATTTAAAGAAGCTGCTGAATGGAGAAAAAGTAGTGGCAGGAAGCCTAAATAATCTATATGCCTGTTAGAACTGTTAAAAAATTGAAAGTAAATCATTTCAGATTAATGAAAATTAGGCTCTAAATGAATTTCTATCTTTCAACGTGCTTTTTTCGTGACAGTTCTTAATTAGTTAGAAGCAGAAATAATGATCCCAACATGTAAATTATTCTTTTAATGTGTTTTCTGGTTATTTGGGCTTAGCAGAGATGAAGGAAAAACAGATGCAAGTTTATTTTCAGAACACACCTGCCAGCTTATTAAACTAAATCATGAAGGGGCATTTCCCTGAGACAACCTGAATAGTAATATGGAACAACGAAAAACCACTAATACTTTAGCTCAGTATTTTAAATTCATAATATAAATGTAAATATTTTGATCTATTTGAGCTATAAAATATAGCTTTAAAAATCAAGACCATTCTAATATACTATCTTATTATTTTTAAATTTTATTACAATAATATTCAATAATTTGGCACAGATATAGGGATTTTAAAACTTCTATAGGATAGCATGGTAGGTCATGCCAACTATAGCTGAAGTAGTCACTATTTTTCTAATTTTAAACACTGTTAGAAAATGGTTTTGTCAACAAAATTTTCTGAATTTTACTTGATACAAAAATTCTCTATCAGGTTCAGTGCCACAGAACACATGGCCTCTGCATCACCTATACCTTTTATGTACATATCTATAGGTAAAAACACATAAAATATTTGGTTTTCTGGGGTGTTTAACAGCCAATTGTATATAAATTGAAAAATAACAAGCCATTTACCTTTTCAGTATACTTCCTGTGAAAGTGTCTCTCCTGCCAGGACAATGAATCACAACCTTTGCAGCACTGTGAAGTCACCTAGTACACTTGTATACAACTGCTAAATCCTGGTCCCACTCTAAGCCAACTGAGTCAGAATCTCTGAAGGTGGGTGGAGCCAAGGCACTAGGATTTTTAAAAACTGAACTCAGGGAAATCTAATGTGCAAACAGGACTAAGAACCATTGTTTTAACTTTAGTGCAGCAGCTCTCAACAGACCTAACATATCACTATCATCTGGGAACAACTTAGAAATAAATGCAAATTCTTGGATCCATCCTAGACAATGAGAAATCTGGGGGTGGAACCCAAAAGCGATCTGTGCTTTAACAAGCCCTCCAGGGGATTCTGATGCTACTAAAAATGTTGGGCCAAGAAGCCAAATCTCACCTTGTTTCTGTATGGAATGCAGGCTAAGAATTACGTTTATGTTTTTAAAAATGGTAAAATTAAGAAAAAATCAAAATAATATGTGATGAGTGACTGCAAATTTCAGTGTCTATAAATAAAGTTTTATTAGAACATGGCTATAATGCCCACTTGTTTCCATGGCTGCCTTTGTACTACAACAGCACAGGTGAGGTGGGCAATTGAAAAGAGCTCACCAAGTCAAAATATTTGCTATTTGGCCTCTTTCAGAAAAAGGTCTGCCAACTCTTGCCCTAGACTGGTATGGCTGGATTATCACCATTCACTTTTTATTTTTAACAGTTAGTAGTTGGTAGACCTTTTTCTGATCTTGGCACTACAGTAAAAAGACTTTAATTTATATGGTTTTAGTATAACACAAACCATATGATTTAATTTTAAAAGAGAAGGATGATAAGTAAAAGTACTTACTTGCCATCTTTAAAATAGGTTTTCAGAGTATCACTGAAACTTTTGGAGTACTTTACAAATTCTTTCTTTTGGTGTTCAAGTGCCTACAGACAACAAAAACAATTAAGAAAAAAATGCTAAATAAGAAAAGAGAAATGACACAAAAGCCAAAGTCAAAGATAGGAGGTTATTCCCAGTAATCAAACCATCTTAGTATTTAATTCAATAAAATAACTAGGTGTAAACTAACATCTAGGATGGCTTCTAGTAAACTTACCCTGCGGTTCTGGTATTGATATTTCTTGAAGACATTATTCACTGTATCAAGAAGTTCTTTTATTGCACTAGCAATATCCCTGTGAGTTAAGAAAAAAAGAATCTTCTTAAAATCAGTTACATTTGAAAGAAGTTTGTATATATATTTTTAAAGAATCTTTATTGTTGAAAGCATTACACGTGCCCCTTTTTTTTCCTGTATATGTCTTTTTAAGAATTACTAACCACACTGTTAATTACCATACTAACACTATGTCAAGAGCAAACATCTGACTGGCTGATTGAGTGGGGGTTTTAGCATGTACCCTTCTGTGATCCTGACTTCTGCACTGCTGACCACACATTCCACATCAACTTTCCCAAATTATTAACATTTCTTTCAGTATTATTGACTTAAATTCAAAAGAATATGCCTCTGCCTCTCATCTTTTCCAGTTATAATTTTTCCTTTCTCTAATATAGCTGACTTTAAGTTACCACATACTGTTTTTCTATCTCATGAACAATTATATGAAACTTTGCTATTACATGTAACTCATTTCTATATTTACCAACACTTCCAGTTACATACCTAATAATTTGTTTTGAAGTATTTCCTCCTCAGACATAGCTCTTCTCTTGAAACATTTACCTCTTTCTAACAACCACGTATCCGTCCCTTCCAAACCTATATTTATGTATTTAAAGTATATTTAAATTTCTGGGACAGACAATATCAGATTTTTCTTCTACCTTAACCTTTCCAGCAATCATCCTTCAGGTGTCCGCCAAAGGCTGTATACACACTTTAAATGCTGATAACTCACTTAATTTTCACTCCTTTTCAAGTTTAACTAATTTGAAATAATGGGTGAAGCCAGACGAAGCTTTGACAAAGAAAATTTATCCATTAGACTATTTTATGGGGATACATAAAAGATGAAGTTTACTGTCCAAAACTGGCAATAGTTGACAAACTGAGGGCACACAAATACCAAACAAAATGATTCTTGATGTTTGCGATTCCATTGCTTCACGTTATCAGCAGTGCTTGGACCAGAATGGTCATCAGTTTGAAAACGGTGTTGACAAAAAACAAAACAAAAAATTAATCATTTCTATAGATTCTTTTAAATTTTGAAAATGAACTGTATGTTAATAAACACTGACTTTATAATCATTCAAAGTGTGTATACATTTTTAGGGGAGACCCTATCTATGCATCAATATCTTCCTCCCCTTAAGAGAAGAAATATTTTTTTGACTATCCTTCCTATTCATGTACCGTTTTTTTCTGAACTCTTCCTGTATTTTATATCTATGCTCTTTTCATATTCTAGCTTAAAGCAATCTTTCTTGGTCAAACTGAACTTAACATAATTCTGCATTTATAAGTAGTCTCATATTCTCTAAGGCAAGCCTTCTCTTCTTCACATCCATTCTCTTTGCTGTTCAAATGCAATCCAAGTGTGAAGATATGAATTAGTAAGATATACATCCAGACTATCCCAAATATAACTTTATCATTGACTTTTTAATCACAAATGTCAGATTTCAGTTATTTTACACCTATAACAATCTTTCTGCTTTGCTATTAAAGAAAAAAGAAGGTTCAGTGTGCAGACTGTCCAGCTTTCTGGACATGTGTGTGTTTCACAGCATATTTCTAGTAAATCAGCATGTAGAAATTCTAAAAGTTGTAGATAGGATTTTGGAATGAAGAAATATATTTTCGCCTATTCTAAAGTAGTAATGGCATTTCAATAAATACTTACTTATTACATCCTGATGTCAAACATCAGCCTCAGGCTGAAACATTAAAACATTACATGTTCAAATAAAACGAAGAATTTTACATATAAATGACATTTGTGGACTCGTGTTTTGCCTCTAGTTTAGTAAAAACAGTTTTAAGTTATATAACTGTTATTTCATTTGTAGGTTTAAGCAAGTTGAATTCTGCTATATTGCTGTGATGGCTGTAAGTCCACCTATGCTTAGTAAAACGGAGTCACATGACCATCCTATTATGTGAAAAAAATTACAGTTTCCACAAGTAAAAAATGTCAAATCTCTGCATATGGAAGATTCTTTAAATTCACAATGAACCTATTTAAAACAAAATGTAATGCAGCAGATTACAGTGATCAGAGAGCTGTTTACACACAGCCATACTTTGTGATATACTTTAAAATTTTACTAAAAAGAATAAAAATGTACATTCAGTGCTAATCAACATGAACATATGTTCCATGTACAATGATAATAGCTGCATTCCATAGGTCAAAAGAGCAGTTCTGAAATTGGCAGCTCCCTCCCTCACCTAAGAAAAAAAAAATGGCAGGGGCAGAGAAGGGAAGGGTGGGTTTAGTGAACAGTACTCCATCCTACTAATAAATATTGGGAATCTGTGCTTTAAAAGAAAATGAAAAAAAAAAAAGAAAAAAAAGGTCCCCAGGTGATTCTGCTGATAAACCTGGTTTGGAAGCCACTTTGTAGGAACTCAGAACCTAGAGCTAAGGTTTGATCTATTATTCGCCACAGCACTTTATAGAGAACTAGGCTGTTTATCCTTAGGCCTGGCCTTTAATTAAAGAACTAGGGAAAACTTGAGGGTAAAAGAACTATAGTGTAATTATATGCTGAGTTAATAGTTTCTATGATAAGGGACACACAAGTATTTGCAGCTATTAAGAGGGGCAACTTTGGGGAAACATAATACTGAAAGAGAGGACAACAGGCATCAGATGAAATATAAACATACATCCTATCAAAAAATTGCACAGAATAACAGAGTTTCTAATCACATCACCCTAATTTGTGTATGTTTATGCAAACACTCTAAAGGAAGGAAATTCCTATGCTGTATGTTTGCTCTAGACAGGTCAGCTCTGGAAAAGCTAATTTGAAGCTATCATGGAAACCAAACCATGGCGAACATTTTGCCTATGAATATGCAAATGCAGATTATAATGAGTAAATAGATAAATGCATAGCGTTCTGGTCTATTAAATCACAAGTCTCTACTAGTCATCCATTAATTGGAATGTGTCAGACTTTTAAAAGAATCCCATGAATTAATTTTATAAAATATTTGCATAAGCTCAAATGTAATCAAACAGAAACATTCATTAATCAAAAGTACTTTAAAATATTTGTTTGCTGGATCATTTTTCCTAATCAACTCCATAGAGAGAAATTGAAATAAACAAACCTTACTTCACAATGCCAGAATGTGCTGTCGGTAGATGCTATTTCTTTCCATTCTCACAACTATTACCCTCATCTTCACAGGCAGAAACTAGAAATATAGAATCTAAGCATCTTATCCAAGATCACAAAGCTAAATATTGAAGTGGAGATTCAAACCTAATTCTGCTAACACATACAGAATTATCTGGTTATTTATTAGCTGACAGGATGTTCTTTCTACTCTGGTATAACCTATAACATGTACAGTACTTAGTATAGTAGGTATTTCATACATACTTACTGAAAAATACTGCTAAAATAAATGAATAAAGAGCATAACTACCTTAAATATGAGAAAGTAGAATATTTGAAAAGAAAGATAATAAGTACACAATATGTGTGGCCTAAAGGATAAACCATTTTCATGTTGCTAAAACTTTTAACCACCAATTTGTTAATGTAACAGTGGTAATAACATATCAAAATCTATCTTTCTCTCTATCAGATCAGTAATACAAATAATTGCAGCTTTAGCTATGTATGCTAATTCATACATTGTTGATTAGTCTTAGAAATAAAAACATATTATCAACAAACATTCCATGGCAAATTATCCCTAAAACGTTTAAAATATAAATTTTAATTGCCAATAATATTAATTCAGTTGTGCAGAGTACTCTCCAGAACTGAAGTATTACTATTGTTCCGTAAATGAGAGACAAGACCCTTAATTCAGTCTCTGTCAATGACTATGGACAAGAGTCTTAGGCTCTTGATCTCAACAACCTTACGATTAAAATGCAGCTGCTAATAAAGTGGTTTTCAAACTGTATCTCTCTGGGGCCAGACTGGGTTTAACAGATGCTTCAGGGATTCCACAGGGGGAGAGAGGGAGTCAAAATAGCAGGATAAGGACTCCGGGTCAGTCACTTCTATCCTGGCTACAATGACAACATTGTTCTCCCTCTCACCTACTGGCATTCTATATATGTCTTTTATCAAACTTCTTCCAAACAATAGAAACTTTTCATTCAATTACCAAATTAGATCAACACTGTGAATCTGTAATAGGGAAGCAGCAGAGAAGACCCTGGAGTCAGTCTACTTGGTTTCAAACCAGGCTCTCCCGTCTTACCAGCTCTGTGAACTTGGAAAAGTTATTTAATTTCTGATGCCTCAATTTCCTCATCTATTACAGGGCTTTGTAATAAGTTAGTATGTTATATAAAGTACTTTAAAAAGTGGTTAGCATGTAAGTTCTATATAAGTGATTAATATTATTAATATAATATTGATTCTGTAAATCTCTACTTGAATGACCTGAAGCAAAATTTGCTGAAAATATTATTTTAAGAACGTCAAATCTTCACAGAAGTGTAGTACACATCATCAAAACAATTTTAAACTTAATTATTAGAAAATTGTAGAAGTAAGTTTTTTAAACAGCTGTGTTTGAGATCATTGACAATTTATCCTTTTATGGACCAAACATGTTTACTTTATACCAAATTAAAAATCCATAAACAGTTGATTGTCTTCCTTCTTCACATATTAAAAATAGTTTAAGGAAGTTGGGGCTTCTCACTAATGGCAAAATATTTACCTTAGGGTTTGTATCCCATTGCACAGATTTTGGCTAGTCAATGAAGCCTTTATCATACCTTCCGGTCCTCAATTAGAAGACTGAAGCAAGGGACATTCCATGATAGCTGGGTTGGGCACCCATCATGAACATTTTCTAAAATGGGACATCCTTCTCCCTCTGTATCACTCAAAATAGGTGCCCAAACTAGTTAAAATAGCATTTTGCAATGTAAATTACAAAGAATACCATTTCTGAGAAATGTTAATATTTATTCCAAGTGAGCCTTCCTAAATTCTTTAATAATATGAAATTTCATGCAATCGCTAAATCTTTCCTTTCTAGCAATTTCTAGCTGTGATTTCACCAACAGGTTAACAGCGTGACTGCAATTATTCCAAGATTTCTGTTTTCTATCCACAAAGAGTACATGACTTATCCTAATGACTTGTGCCATTTCTAAAATAAAAACAATGGTATCCTTTGTTATTAAGCTGTATAATTTATCCAAAACTTCTTTATTCACTTTAGTCTGACAATTAATTTTTCCATGTTTTGTGTAGTTTAAACTATATTTCAATTTCTGTACATTCCATTCAGTTTTAAAATTAAACACTCTAAACAAAATGTTACTGTATTCTGAAATGAAATGCCACAGCTTAGAAGTTAATAAAGATGTATCATTTAAAAACTCCAAATTTATTTCAAATTAATATTTTAATTTAACATTTATGTCATACTAAAATGAAATATCTAGAATGAGAGGTTCCTATGAAGTACTTGAGAAAAGAACAAAAACAAGAAGTTGCTTACTTGATTGTCTGCAGAAACCTCACCCTGTCATTGATCTCATCTGGGATCTTACTGAGAATCTGTTTAAGTGCCCGTGCCTTTTCGTTTAGGTCTTGGAATTCTGGCTCTGGTCGTTCAATCATATACTCTGATAAAATAAATGCATAATAAAAAGCATCAGGCAACTCCCTGTCAAATGCAAGTCTACAAACTCCCAATGTTGGTTAAGAGGGTGAAGGAGGGGAGTAGAAAGGCCAGATAACCAGGAAAGACAAGGTTGCAAAAGCAGAATTTGTAAAGAGATCAACTTAGTTTGGTAATAACAGGGCTCCTACGAAGTAAGATAACAGAAGATGAAAGACTAAACATTTTCAATTTGGGATAAATAGAAAGCCCATGAAATAAAAATAAATAAATAAAATTAAAAGGGAGTCTTAATCAAATTGATCAAGCCCCTGAAGATACATTTCTCAAGAAAATCTTAATGACGTTCATGACAAATATGATGGCAATATGTACCTGCCAATGGGGAAGATGAGCTTAACCAAAATCTCTATATTGAATAGACAATGTCTCATTATACCAAAACCCAAACAACCTACTAAAGTCTTCAGCACGTTCTTGAAATCTCACTTAAAAAACACACACAGGAAAACACTACCAAAAATTCAACACAAGGGTTGGATCACAGAAGAGTAAACTTAGAAAGGAAGTTTAATCAGACCTGGTATAGGCAAAAACATTACTAGTAGATTCATTGTAGACTTGGAAACATTACAACCCTACCAACCAATACAACCTGGCCTAACAGACCGGAAATGTGTAAGTGTAGAATAATGATGAGGACTTTCTTATAAATTATGGAATCAGTTAAAATATTTCCTTTTTTTCTCCCTCACTAAAGATGGGAAATTCTAATTCTATTTTTTCTTAATTAGTGGGAAAATGGGTACTAAATTTAAGTGAAACCCATTTCTGATTATTTAAAAAGCAAAAAATGAGAAAGATTGGTTATTATATTGTCCTCTCAAATCTGTGGTTGAATAAAACACTAAAGTTAGAAAAAACCCTCATTAATTCACACTGATTTTTGCATCAAGTCAACACAAAATTAAAAAAAACAACAACATTCCACAGAGTCATCTTTTGGCAAAACCAGAACTCATCAAACATATTCACAGGGGGAAAAGTTAAAGTGTACAACATAAACAAACACTTTACTTCAAGTAATTAAATCTGAATCTGACAAATAGAAAACAGAAAACAAGTACTTTTCTATTTTATAGGTCCCCCACCCCAATATTATCACAATACTAATAATAAGAAAAAGAAGAGAAGGAGGAGAGGGAAAAGAGGAGCTAGAACCTTTTGTCAAGCAATAAAGATTTGGAAGAAGTGCTTTTCAACAACTGTAAGAAAACTAAACAAGACTCTTTCTGATTACCTTCTACATCATCAGCTGCCATTCGAAGAAGTGATTCTGTGAAGTTAACTTCTACACTTTTTTTCTCTAAAATTTTCATTATGATGTCTTGTGTGAGTCCTGGATTTTCTTTTTCAGCCTATAAGGAAGAGAAAGCTAGTTTTGAAATGTAGAAATGAAATCAGAATTTTAAAACCAAAACTTAAATGTTTAGAAGGTTTGGGAACTTAAACTGATGAACCTAGAAAGGCAGAAATCTTTGTAAAGCGGTGATGGTATCACTTCTGTTTGATAAAACTTAAACATCAGTAACTTTTTATTACAGCCAATGTCTATTTTCCATTTGAACATAAAGTACTTAACATTTCCTACTTCTCCTTTACATTCTCCTGAAATCAAACTAATAACAAAGATAGAAATAAACATGTATTTTGGTAATCCATCAATTACTTTTTTCAGTAGCTAAAATAGACTAAGGATTTTTAGATTTTTTTCATTAGGTAATCTTTCAACTTGAGGATCTAGCAATTAATTACTCATCTCACCAGTATTTTACAGATTCTCTGCATTTAAATTAACAGAATGTCAGGAATAGCAAAAATAAAACAGGATTACTTTTGCAAGTTTTCTTGAAGATATATAATCCCATAAATGCTTTCCCATACAATGATTTTCACTTTCTGTTTTCTTTTTGTAGCAAGACTATTACCTTCACTAGTTTTCAGAACATTATTAATCCTTTTACTACCCTGAGCTTGTTTCACTAATGAGTTTACAATAGTTCTATGTTACTCCCCAGGGCACTAAAATCGTCTAGTCATTTCAGTACTGAGCATAAAGGGTTCTGAGTTTACCAAAGTTAATTTTCAAGATTTGGGTTTTCCCCAGTAATTTTATCCAATTTTATAATTGTTCTAAATTTTATAATCACACTATACATTTGTTTCTTTTAGGATGACTGCCAATTTTAATCATTATGCTGATGATTTCTCATCTTTCTTGCCCTGATATTAAATAGAAAATAGAAACAAATTGTGATCTTAACCATATGGCGACCTATTTGTTTTCTTATGTGTCAAGCACATTTAATCTCTGCCTTTTCAATTGCACTCTGGCATCACTGCAGATCCAGCTTTCTTCTGCACCTACTGCTCTCTCCATTATGACATCTTGTTTCTCATTAGATTTCAGTATAAAAAATTAAAATGCTGTGGAATTAAATGGGAAAAGAAAATACACACATTTATTTCAATCCTGAGATCATTTTTAACTGTTGTCAAATGTTCTTCAGGAAAGTCATTTTGATATGTAATTAATAACAATAAAGTGTGCCTTACTGAATTACATTTTTGTTGTTGTTAACCCTCACTCGAGGATATTTTTCACTGATTCATTGATTTTTAGGGCGAGGGAAAGACAGAGAGAAACACTGATGTGAGAGGAACACATCGACTGGTTGCCTCCTGCCTGAGCCCTATCCAGGGCCGGGGCAGGGGAAGAGCCTGCAACCAAGGTACGTGCCCTTGACTGGAATCAAATCTGGATCCTTTGGTCCGAAGGCCGATGAGCCAAACTGGCTAGAGCTGAATTCTATTTCTTTTAACTGTAGTGCCCCAGTTACTCATGGGGGATATGTTCCAAGATCCCCAGCAGATGCCTGAAACCATGGATAGTAACAAACCCGATACAGACAGATGCTCTTCAACTTATGACAAAGTTATGACCCTATAAGCCCATCACAAATCAAAAATATCCTAACTTGAAAGTGCATTTTATACACCTAACCAACTGAACATCACAGCTTAAACAAGTCTACTCATACTCAGAACATAGTATCTAAAAAATGCTGATAACACAGTACACTGTAGAGTATTGGTGTTTACTCTATGATGGAGTGCCTGACTGGGAACTGCAGCTCAGTGCCACTTCCAGCATCATGAGAATATTGTACCGCATATTGCTAGCCCAGGAAAAGATCAGAGTTCAAAATTCCAAGTACAGTTTCTACTAAATGTGGACAGCTTTCAAACCACTATACAGTCAAAAAATCCTTAAGTCAAACCATGATAAGTTGGAGACTGTCTGAATTATGTTTTTCCTATACATACATATCTATAATAAAGTTTAACATATAAATCAATTAGGAACAATAAGAGACCGACAATAACAATTAAAAAAAGAATAATTCTATCAATGCACTGTAATAAAAATTATGTAAATATAGTCTCTATCAAAATATCTTATTGTAACCAACCCTTAACTTGCAGAAAACGGCTTGGTGTCATTCGTTTCAGGGGATCCCTTGCTTAAATCTTCACAGTCTCATGTTTTCTGGTGCACACATTTTTGTTATCAATTGGAACATTTTTTGTTCATGTTTTCCACCCACAGATTTAGTGACTTTTTAACTTAACTAAATAAACACTTACCGTGCACTGTGGCTGTAACTTTTGCAGTTTGAGATGGGACAGCAAAATTTATACAAATTCCTTTTTCTTTCTTCACAATTTCATGAATAGATTTGTTTTTACCATTGACCTTAGCAACCTGGACATATACATTTTTTTTTTCTTTTCTTTGTAAGTCAAAAACTTTCACCTTTTCACTTAAAGGAAGCACATTGTGGCATATCTCTTTTGGCATATCCCAATTGCCAGTATAACTGCTTTCGAGCTTTGTGGCCACTAGTAAGTAAAATAAGGGTTACTTAAACACAACTACAATACCATGAAAGACTGATGTGATCACTGAAAAAGCAACTAAATGTCTAAAGGCAGGGAGCACATACAGCACAGTGACACTGGTCAAAGGGATTGAGCAGGATGGTGTGCAATTTCATCCCAATACCCATAATGGAACAAAATTTAAAATCTAAGAACTTATTATTATTTCTGAAATTTTAAAATTTATAAATTTAAAATCAAACCATAAATTTATAATTTAAAAATTATAAAACTTATTATTTCTGGAATTTTCCATTTAATGTTTTTGAACCAGAGTTAAAACAGGTAACTAAAGTGTAACTGTGGATAAGGGGAGACCACTGTATAGTCAGTTTTGATTTTTCCTTTCAGATTTATTTAAGGTAGGATCTATTTAATTAAAAGAAAACAAAAGTTGTCTTTAAAAGAAAAGCTATACAAATACAATATAAACTTTATGAATTTGGTGAGCTGACACAAAATTACATGTACGACACTATTTAAATAAGCCAGTATTTGATAACTGGTTTATCTTTCCTAAGTACCATTAAATTATCAATAACACATTATTTTGGGGAGCAGGGGGGCATTCTCTATATGCTTCCAGACAATGCCGCAGAAAACAATCTCTCTGATTAAGTTATAATAAGGTGCTGAAAAAATCAAATGCTGAAAGCCTGACAACAAAGTTTGCAATATCAAGTTGGTCTGGGGCCTCAACGTGCCAAAGCTGAAACATTACAGAAATCTCGCAGAGGTCCCTAAGGTTTTAAAGTCAGTGTTCTTAGTGCCAAAAGAAATACCTAACAGTACTGTGTATTAAACAGTCAGGTTCAAACAACTTAATAAATACTGAAGTAGCCTTTAAAAAATACACAAATTGATAAAAAAGTATTTAATTTTATTCTTCAAATAACTATAATTACTTATTTTAATGAGATCTGTACACCCTGCTGGGCATTGCACAATGTCTCAAATGCTGGAATTCGATTGGACACTGCCCTCATTTCCTGTTGTACATTGATTTCCTTATGGTACTTGCTTTTTATCACAGCAATGACCAAAGTCCAGCTGACAAAGACATGACATAACTGAAAGGAATGTAGTCCAATCAAACTACTACATTGAAACAGCAAACTACTGCAAGCTAGTAGTTAGTTCAGTGTCAACCAGATGTTGAATATCACCGTGTTTCTTTAAAATTTTTAATTACCTCATGACACCTAAGATATTTGCTATGGGGTCCCAGGGTGCCCCGGCACATAGTTTGAGAATAGTTGCCTTAGTATCTTCTGTCTGAACTCTTACTGAGGCTACATTTTATTTTAAACACCTTAAATTTATCCAATGACTCTGACTGACAAAATAAATAGATCTACCATTAAACGAGAGACTATATACCTACAGGTTTCCCCCTGCCCCCAAATAAAACCTTCAACTCTATGAGTATATAATTTTTATGAAGAATCCAACTGTGAGAAAAAACTGTCCCCAAGGGCAGTAATATCCAATCCGTGAATCAGTGATTCTCAACAGCACAACCTATCAGAACTTCTAGATGGGAAAGGAATCAAAAGCAGAATATATAATTACTAAAATTATTTTATCTTGAAATAAATTATTTCATCCCTTTTTCCCCAATAACAAAAATAGATACTAAAGCTTGATAAATATAACTGTTGTTATGGACCAAGAACTGGAAATATGCATTTAAATATATATAAACACAAAAATCTTTATCTTTCTAATGCATGCCTTCCTTTAATTTCATTTGAAATTTAACATATTAAATGTGAAAATTAAGAATAAACCAATGCAAGCTGACTAATGTTTTCCTCCAAAATAACTTTCACTATCCCCAGTTAAGAATCCATGCCATGAAAAGCAAAATTTACCCATGTATCAAACCAGATCTACCATAGCCACACTTTAAAAAAACTGCTTTTTACTTGTACTTGTGTAAAAACATGAGCTTATATATAAAGACATTACAAATAAAAGCTTCATGAAATTCATTATTTTATCTCTTTTATGAATGTCATTTAGTATACCATCTACTGCTTCAGACAGGGACTTCTTTACCAAAATACACAGGAGAAATACTCTCTGTTCTGGGTATCAGGAAAGCTGAAAAACGGACTTTTACCTAATCAATACTACACTGTGCAACCTAACACTTTTCCTATTCTTTGGTTACACACATGCTTAAAATAGTTGCCATTAAGCCTCCCTAATGACCAAATAAATATGCCATTTAAAATCACACTAATATAGAAAGAAGGTAAAAAAGAAAAGATAATGGCATTGTTTTGTTGATTCTCTTTATTAATCCAATGATTTGCCAAGGATATGTTTTAAAGAAGCTAGTACGAATGTGTACTCAGATACTAGATTTTATAGAATATTAAGCACATCTAGGTAATTCTAATCCAACATATACAATGTGAAAAGAGAGATGCCAAGTGACATTATCTATGCTATCAGTTAAGACTGGAATCTATAAGCTAATCTTTGCCATAAAAATATTGGATGGATTTATAATTTCAACTCCAATGAATCTCAACTATAAATTTATTCTTGATTTAAATATTAAAATACTTTACCTAAAGCATAAGTTGATTTGGCTATTGATAGGAACAAACACACAAAAAGTAAATAAAAATTAAAGTTTGAGGCACCCTGATAATGTATTTTGGGGGATGGGAATAAAGTTTTATATGCAAGAATGTACCCAACATGTAAAGTAGGGGCATCCAATAAAAATATAATGCAAGAAACAAATATAAGCCCTTGTAATTTTAAATTTTCTAGTAGGCATATTCAAAAAGATTTTTAAAAAATGTAATTATGTTAAGCCCTGGCCAGTTTGGCTCAGTGGATAGAGTGCTGGCCTACAGACTGAAGGGTCCCAGGTTCGATTCCCATCAAGAGCATATGCCCAGGTTGCGGGCTCGATACCCAGTATGGGGCATGCAGAAGGCAGCTGATCAATGACTCTCTCATCACGGATGTTTCTATCTCTCTTCCTCTCCCTTCCTCTCTGAAACCAATAAAAATATATTTTTTAAGTATATAAAAAATGTAATTATCTTAAGAGTACATCTAAAACATTCATTTCAACATGTAATCAATATAAATTATTTAGTACTGAGTTATTTTACATTCTTTATTTTGTACTAAGTCTTCGAAATCTGGAATGTATTTTATATGCACAGTACAACTAAATTGGAACTAGCCATATTTTAAGTCCTCAACAGTGACAGATGGCTAGTGATTATCAATCGAAAATCTCAGGTCTAGAAACAGAAAAATTCATGCTGAGTGACTTAGCTGTATATTCTCAAAGAGTGCTTAATATGATGTGCACACAGGTCTTATTTTCATGCTCAAAACATTGTTTTATACTTATATTCTACAATTTAATAATATGAATCTTTTTGAGTTATAATTTTATAAAAGGTTTTAAAAATAATTTAAAAATCAACTCCAAAGTTAAAGAGAGAATACTCCAAAGTCAGTTTCAAAAGCACCAAGTGAAAGGACGAATTTTCAGGAAAGAGCACTTGTTTCAGTTCACTTTTTGAGAGTGTATTAATCTTTACAGAGTACACCAAAATAGGCACAGGATAGTTAAAAGGGTTGTTACTAGGAAATAACCTGGCAATTATCAGCTGGTATTTAGATTTATGTATAACATATATTCTAATAATCACAATAAGTTACTTGTGCCTCACCTTAATGAAAGCTGCTCTCAGTGTCTGAGCTGCAGACAGATTTACTCGTTCTAGCTGCAATAAAAATTTTAAATCAAAATTAATATCAATTTTCTTAGAAAAAGCAACATTTCTGATATTCCATTCTATAGTAAGCACATTGATACACACATCATTCAACTAACAAAAGTATTTGCTAATTAACTCTAAATCACCATAATTCTTCAAAGAGAAGATTATCTAAAAATTTCATTAAAAACCATGAAAACTTAAGGTATGTATATCAGTTCTTTATTCCTTTTTTTAAAAAGTAAGAAACTTATTTTATTTTAAATAAATAAATGTACTTTATTTATTTTAAGCAAAAGCAGTTTATTGAGAGATAGACTCCCTTTAGCAGGGAGGAAAGGAGCCCAAGTGGGTTGCTCAGAAACACTGTACTTTAAAGACAGATTTATTTTAAGATAAGCACAAAATACAAAATAATATAAATCCTATAGAAAGAATAAACACATTTGTGAGTGTGTGTCTATTGAATATAAAATGACCAATACAAAGAAAACATTTGCTACTTAAGATTCTTTGTATTTACCACCGTACTCCTTCTTAATTGCTTTTCAATCCCCTCAGCCAAGGATTAATCTGAGATTAGTTTATTTTATTAATTAGCAAATAGTGCAGATAAAAGGTTTGTTTGACACTCAAATTGATGACTGTGGATCATCTGGGATTTCAGAGATGCTTATATCTGTCCTGTATTTTATCAGGATTAAAAAAGAGTTACCTAAAATACTAAATCAAAAGTTCAATCCAAATGCTTTTAATTTTTGTCAAATATGTAAGGTTTATAATTTTGAAAGATAAAATGACCATATTAGAAACTTTATACAATTCACTTTCAGTGAGCCAAAGAAGGTATAGAATTTCATAAAAACCAAAAACACCTCTTTGTTAAAGAGTTAACTGCCAGGCTTAAAATAACTATTTTCAGTTAAATTCAGATTTCTTTAGTCCCTAAGAATTAGGCCAGTTAACTCAATAAAACTCAAAGTATTTATTTTTTATTTGGGACAATATTAAATGTTCAAAAGCATTTTAACCTTTATAAATTTCTAAGCAAATAGAAAATTTCTACAGAAACTTTATTAACCTATTATGCAATAAATATTCCTTTCAATCTCAACGCAATGAAAATGTAGGTTTTCCTTTATAAACAACACACAGGATGGGGCAAAACTAGGTTTACATTTGTGAGTACTGGAAATAGTTTACTCTTGTACTATTATTTACTGTATTTTTTCCATACAAATGACTATAAACCTACTTTTGACCTACTCTACACACACACACACACACACACACACACACGAAATCTCCAACATCACTTGATCTCCAAAAATAAAAACTGGAGTATTTAACTTAGCTTCTTACACATCTTGCAAAATGTAACATTGTCTTTAGTAGGTAAAAGGGAAAACACAAGGGGACAAGTTAGCAAATATAGCAAAAAAGCAACTCTATGAGGAGTTTATAAAATTAACAAAGGTTTATCTCCAAAAATGAATTTTTTCCCACAGAATTCACTTAGTTATAATGAATACAACTGAAGATTAAAATAACAACACAACTCTTCTGATCTCAAGTTCTTGTTATGCAGGCTAGGCAGAAGGAGACAGGATGAATGTTTCCACCCTGACAGAAACCTATTTCCTTATTTGGGTTAACACCACATTCTGACCTCTTTCAACAAGTCAAAGGTCTGAGTCACATGTGTGCCTTCAATTATCAGCAATATAACTCATTCTGTAATGCCCTGATATGTGAAAGGCACAAGGCCAGGAAAAGAGATCAAGAACACTCTGTGAAGAACTCATAGCATTGGCCAACTTCCTTTACCATCAGCATCTCTAGATTTCTAGATTAAGTTTACATATGTGTACCTTAGAAAAGGGGAAGGTCAGAGATAACACACTAAATCAAATCTGTGAGCTATGAAGCATCTCACCAGAGCTCTAAGAGGAGTCATTCTGGGATAACCACATATCTTGTAATAAACCCAGTAGGCTTTATAGCTATGTGATAGCCACATTCCCCAGGGAGTACCAGGCACATAGGCACTATACATATTTTAATCAAACTTCATTTCTCATAAATTTATCTAAATTGTTCTGGAATCTATAATTTCAGTCTGTAATACTTAGGTAGCAAGATACAGTTTTCTTTTCTCTATTAAAAGTGCTTCTATATTAGGCCTCTCACTTGAGATACATGATTTCAAAATAAAATCATGTTTATCTTACTAGTACCTTTCATGAAAAGATCAGGTTCCAGTAATATTCTAACAGCTATCATTTACTAAGAACTTACTATACAGCGTATTTTTATAGAGTATCTCTAATCCTCACAATAAATATGGTACTAGTTATCATCATCTCCATTTTACAAAAGAAGTAACTCAGTTTGCATAAATTTATGCAAATATTAAAAAGCTAGTACTTTGAGAAAGGATTCATACTGGATCTGTCTGGCTCCAAAACCCCATGCATAAGACACTAATGCTACCCTGCCTCCCTGTACTCACCCTCTCCAGATGGGAGTCTACCCTATCATTCAATCTCTTCAACTACTTAAGAACCAATAAATTTCTGAGTTTCTACCATGTGTAAGGGAGACAGTGTGAGAGAGACACATCAATTGGTTGCCTCCCACATGTGCCCCAACTGGGGCCGGGGATGGAATCTGCAACCCAGGTACTTACTCTTGACTGGAAATTGAACCCGAGACCCTTGGGTTTGAGGGCTGACACTCTAACCACCGTGCAAGCCAGGCCAGGGTAAGAATTATTTTTTAGCCTCATTTTACATGTAAAAAAAATAAGACAAAATTATATAACCTAATAAGTGACAGAGAAGTAATTCAAATGTAAACCTTAACTATGATCACCTCTGGATGGTGGTATTGCAGGGGAAACCCATGCCTTCACTGTGAAAAAGTATGTTTACTATGCTCAAAATCTGGGATTTTTTTTTTTCGACTAGGAAAAAATAAAAAGGACAGGTAGGCAGGTAAAGCTGCAGAAGTATTCTCAGGATTAATTTCCTTATTGATAAATTAGGAGTTGTATATGCTGCTGAGAGCAGAAATAGTTGATTTGTATTCTTCTGAATAGAATGATACTAATTACTTATTCATAAGTACCATTTTGTGTGATTTTTTTTAATTGATTTTTTACAGAGAGGAGGGGAGAGGGATAGAGAGTTAGCAACATCAGTGAGAGAGAAACATCTATCATCTGCCTCCTGCACACCCCCTACTGGGGATGTGCCTGCAACCAAGGTACATGCCCCTGACCAGAATCGAATCCGGGGACCTTTCAGTCCGCAGGCCGATGCTCTTTCCACTGAGCCAAATCGGCTAGGGCATTGTATGATTTTTTAATAAACAAAAGTGTAAAACTTTGATGATCTAAAATTCACCTTTGGTTGCAAAATTGCTATTTCTGTCTCAAAATACCTACTTCTTCATACAGTATATTTCCCCTTAAACAATTCCTCCAAAAGTCATGGGAAAATAAGATACATGGTATATCTTTTCCTAGAATGAAGAAATGAAGCATTCAACGCTCTTCTTCCATATATAAAGAATTAGTGAAAAGTAGTAAGTACCTGAAAACCTGTTCTAACACTTGGCATGAGGTTTTTATAAACTCATTCCATAATGCAAACAAGAGACCTATTTCACAGTACATTTACAACACATGCAATACACTTGGACTCTGAACTCTGCAGCTGCTGATTAAACAAGCCCACTCCTTCAGCTGTCCTAGCATAACTTCATTAAGTTTAGCAAGCATCATGCTCTCAGAATGCCATAAATAACTTTGCCTTGTGAGCTAGAGTACCAAAATTTCCTCAGGTGTAAGGATGTACCACTGTCTAAAAATCTGTTCTACAAGATGACTGGGAGATCCATCATTGTTATTATTATGGATGTAATGTTATGATGAGAATGCATAAGCTTTTTCACTCTTCTATTACCCTAGAGGCCCGGTGTGCACGGGTAGGATCCCTAGGCCTGGCTGGCAATCAGGGCCGATTGGGGCCTTCCAGCTGCCAGCCAGGGCCTTCCTTCGTTATGCAACGGCCCCTGGTGGTCACGTCACAGAGAGTGATTGGTCTCCCGGTGGAACTCCCATGGGGATAATTTACATATTAGGCATACACACACACACACACACACACACACGACAAAATTTAGTGATTCATTTACCTTCAGAGTAAAATGTTCACCCCTACTGTGGTGCTACTTTCTGCAAGATTAACTTGACAACCACTTATCTTTAAATCTGCATAGTACAGACAAACAATGCCAAACTAATTTTCCAATTAGTAGATTTATAGAAAAATCCTCTTTTGAACTATAACTATCAACTAACTGATTAGGTATCTTATTTAATTTCACCTCTATCAAAGAGAAAACCTACTACTACTAATATTCCTAAAAGCCTATTCATTCTGTACTCTCTTTTTAAAATACATGACAGAAATAATTATTTAAAAAAGCTTGATACCATGTTTGATCAATAAATTCAATTTGAGAATTAGACCCTGAGAATTTGATGTAGTATCTCTCAGTCTGCAACTTCCAGCCATTTCATTTTAAAAATTTACTTCTAACAATTAGTTCTTGAACCAAATATGAATCATTTGGCGACGTATTCTAATTCTGGGCCCATTAACCTACATATGTTTTTAGATCTCATCTGGAGAGAATCACTGCCTTTATTTCTGAAAGAGATTTACTAGTCCATTCACAGCTGTTTATTTTTCTTTCAAGTTAATTTTCCTTATACCAAATGAATTAGGAAAGTTGTATTAATCCCAACAGAGCATTTCACCAGAATGCTACATCCTATTCAATTATTTTCCAAAGTTAAGACTGAAATAAAATCCACTTTCCATATGTAAAAAAATATCACCGAAATTGTTAGGAAAAAAGTTTTTCTCATTCCTTTTCATTAACTAAAGGATCAAACTGAAACTCAGAAATTTAACTGCCCTTCCGCCAAGAAAAGACTCAACGTAACCAGATAAATACAGAATAATCTCCCAAAACAACTTGGCCCAATAGCCACTGAGTTAGCTATAGAGTTAGACTACAGACATGAAAAGAGGGAGTACCTCTGGCAGGAACTGTCATGATGGTTCTTAAAATACCTGAGAAGTCCAAACACTAATCATCAAGATAGATTACTCACCAGTTTTCAGGGATTGTCTCCTTACTTCTTACCTGGTACGAAGATCATTAAATAATTTATTTGCTTAAGTATCTGTATTCCCTAAGATTCTTATAAGAAAGGTTGTTGCTTATTTTTCCCTCTACAGTTCCAGACCCTAGCAAAACACTCAACGAATAAATGGTTGGCATTTAGTAAATATTTACTAATCAAAAGGGAAACACTTGCTTTTAACAATAACTCTAGCCTTGCAACAAATGGGTAAAGTATTAAAACAAAATGTTGGAATTAATTACTAGAGTGTCTGCAGTAGCTGCCAGATATAGGTGTAACCAGCACTAAAAGGGGGCCTCAGAAGCTAGCATGGTAGCAGTATAATAAAGACAGGTTTTTCAAAAGATGCCTCCTACTTGCTTCCTCCTTAGTAGCAAACTTCTTAATTTCCCAACCTCTTTTGCAGCTAGGTGTGGTCATAAGATTACATTTTTGCCAATGAGACGTAAATGTAAGCCTTGTATAGGACATTCAAAAAGGTTCTTAAGAAAGCAGAATCAGTTAGAGGTAACACACACACACACACACACACACACCCTCCTGCCCTTTTCAGGAAACAACTTAGGACAGTGGTTCTCAACCTTCCTAATGCCAAGGCACTTTAATACAGTTCCTCAAGTTGTGGTGACCCCCAACCATAAAATTATTTTCGTTGCTACTTCATAACTGTAATTTTGCTACTATTATGAATCGTAATGTAAATATCTGATCTGCAGGATGTATTTTCATTGTTACAAATTGAACATAATTAAAGCATAGTGATTAATCACAAAAACAACATGTAATTATATATGTGTTTTCCGATGGTCTTAGGAGACCCCTGTGAAAAGGTCGTTCGCCCCCAAAGGGGTCACGACCCACAGGTTGAGAACCGCTGACTTAGGACGATGAGCTTTAGTGGCCATCCCACATGCTGAAGTGACCTTGATAATGGAAGGCCAGTACTAACATGATGGGACAAAAGATAGGAACCTGAGTTTCAGGTGATACTGTTCCATAATACTAGCTCTAGTCCACTTACCTCTAGAATTTTTTATGTAAGAGAAATAAATTTTACCCAAGCCACTGTTTTTCATTTTCTCCTTTGGTCATTGAGCCTAACACTATTTAGGAGACAGTGTTTGAAGTTCAAAATATTTGTCTGAAATGGAAACTAAACTAAGTCTCTAGATTTCAAATTGAAGAGGATGAACCACTCTCTACTGACCCCAAGACATTAGATCATAAAATAGATCTAATACATTATGAATAAACCTAATAATGTTGGAGAAATGGTTTTTAAATTCACGATCTTACTCTAATATAATTATTTTATAAAAAGAGATAAAAATTATGGGAAATGGTAAGGGCTTCCAGGTTGTAGTAGCAACAATAAGGTTAATGGCATCAATAGCTTTATAATTAATTAGATTAATAAAACAAACAAAAAAAGCCACCCACAAACTCACAACTAATTAAATAGGTAAAAAGCCTAAAGCCACAGAATTCAGAGTCCTAGATTCTAGTCATAGGTAATTTCAGGAAAATAATTTCATATTATCAGGACCCTAGGTCACCATTAAAAGACAGAGGAGAGTGATTAGATTATACTTAAGAAACTTGCAGAGTTCCAGAATTCTCTACACACTTTAACATATATTAATTTAAAAGAAAAACCAAAATGTATTAATATTATTAAGTCCTACAATATTTCTAAAATAAAAAGAAAACAACATCTTCTCTAAATACAAAGCACTGTTATGTTTCATTTATCAGTAAAAATGTTTGGGGCTACTGACTGTAACTCAGTAGGATAATTTGTGCCTGCTCCTCTGGCTATCTAATGTGCTTGTCCCCAGCTCTTCAGCTGTCTAACCCTTCTATATCCCTTTCAGATCTTCAGCATGTCTCTTCATCAGTGAGGCCTACCCTGACCTCCAAAACAGGCTCTACCTTTTTTTTTTAAACTTCATAGCAATTACCACAATTTTTCATTTATCTAATTATTTGTATTCTTTTAGTTAATGTCTCTCTCTCGAACTACAATGAAACCTCTAGAGAGGGAACAATATATCTGGGACTCTCACCCACTGTTTTATGTCCAGTCCTGGCATAATACCTAACACATAGATGGAATTCATTTATATAAGTATGTTATATGAAGGAACCAACAAATGAATAAATGAAGTAGGAATTAAGGAATTGCAGAGATCCTATGAGAAAATATCACCGACTTACCTCATTAAACACAGGATACATGACTGCATAGAGAGGCATAGAAACCATGGAAGTGGTCTCAGCTTCATTCTTCATCTCTTCCATTGTCATCCTCATTCAAAAGCCAACTACAGTAGAAAAAGCAGTGCTAAAATGCAGAGGAATCTTCATTCACTGCAGTATTTCTTCTCTCTTTTTTTGTCGTAAAAGAATAGGTCACAAAACATATATTGACCTGGTTAAAGGGGAGAAAGAACAGTAAGTTACTACATTAAGAGGAAACAACAGATACAGCATTTTTTTCCCCAAAGTAGAGTCCTTATCTTATGAAAATCAGAATTTTTAATATATCTTACTTGTAAAGGCAGCCCTAGTCAGTGAGACATCTCTGTTTCCCTTCTCAGATTCAAGAATTGCCCTTTCTTAACAGCTAATCTCTCTTATTAGGTACTACACTACAAAGCAGTGTTGCATGATTCAACTCATCTTGAATTCAGAAAGAGCTCTTTATGAAGCACCACGGATTAATGATTTATCTAATTCCATCATATGCAATTGAGGAAAAAGTATCAAAATGCATAATTATAGCATTTACATGCAATATCCTATATAATAAAAGGCTAATATGCAAACTGACCGAATGGCTATGATGCACACTGACCACCAGGGGACAGATGCTCAACACACGAGCTGCCCTCCTTGGTCAGTACGCTCCCACAGGGGGAGCGCTGCTCAGCCAGAAGCTGGGCTCATGGCTGGCGAGTGCAGCGGTGGTGGCGGGAGCCTCTCCCACCTCCGTGGCAGTTGAACATCACCCAAGGGCTCCTGGACTGTGAGAGGGCACAGGCCGGGCTAAGGGACCTCCCCACCCGAGTGCACAAATTTCGTGCACCAGGCCTATAGCACATTTATAACTATGAAATGTACAGTGTGTATGAAATACAAGTAAAGAATTAAGAATAAAGAATTAAAGTGTATAACATTTTCATTAAAACGCCTTTTGCTAATTGTTCACTGGTTTTGTCATCTAAAAATAACCAATAAAAACGTAAGTACCAAATAATTTAAGGAAAATCTTAAAACTGGAAAATTGCTACCAAATGTGGTCCATTTGGGGAGAAAAAATGTTACTTAATTCTGCCAATGGTACTTTTTGAACCTAAAACAAGAAATCCATAGAAACTAGTAGTCTGGAATTAAAATATCATGATTTAATAATATAAGAGAGAAATTTTACTTTGAGGGGTTAAGGAAATGTGTTGCTTCTTAAGAGAAAGCAACTATATTTATTCCCTTTGCTAGGCTAAAAAATAAGCCTAATTATAAGGTGGAAGTGTAACAGTAGTCACTTATCTATATATATAGTTACAAAACAATCAATTTGAATAATTTCTGCCATTTGCAAAACATTCTCATTGATTATAAAACATTTTCACATGCATTTAATACTTATAACTTATTTACAGTAATTGTCATTATAATTTTACATGAAAAAGAAGGCTCAGAGATAATAATTTGCCCAAGATCACACATGCGGAGGCCTAATACTGGATCCGAGTACTTAGAATCCAGATCTGATTTCCCACATCATAAAATCAAGTCTGAAGTATAAACAAAGAACCTGAGTTCATCCACCCAAGAAAATACCCAGAAGTAGAAGTTGTTTACTGAATAAATATATGTTTAGCACCTACCATTTGCAAGATACAGTTGGGGATGAATAGATGTCCTAATTATTAACAATTTACCCCGGCCAGACTATGAAAGACCTAAGCAGTTTGAAAGTAATATCCAAGGCCTGGCGTACTTATAGCTTCAAAATTCTCCAATAATCCATCCCATCTGAGAACTGCTTCTATCCTTCCACATCCCAACCAGTGAAGGGGAACTCAACACCTACTTGAACAGTCTGGTTCCATTTCTGGTAGTTCTAAACATAGACAGTTTGCCCAATTTCTGAGCTGACGTCCACTCCCTGACTTCACAGAACAACAAAACAAGGCCAATTCCTAAATTCTATTCTAGGGCAAGAGAAAATCATTACCTGATCAGACCACTGATTTAAGTAGATTGTTTGGTCATAGCATTAAAAATAGAATGGCGGAACAGAAACTGAAGGCAGGGAAAACATGTATCTTTACAAGAGATCAACAAGACCTGAATAATAAGTAAGAGGAAGTAGGTAAATATCAGTTGTGGCCCTACTATTTCTATTTACCTAATAGGCCATTTGGTAACCTACTTTTCCACTTAGAAATAAATTGTGAATACTTTTTTATAATAAACTTGGAACAAAGGCTAGGGGCTGAAATACAGAGAAACTGGTCAAAATGAAAATGATAGGTACTGTACGCACAGTTTAACAGTAAAAGAAGGCATCTACTATAGCAAAGAAAAAAGCAAGTAAGAAATAGCAGGACAGGGTCAACAGAACCTGGGAAGCTATCTCACTGGGTGACAGAAAAAGAAATCATTCACTTATTTAATAAATATTTATTCATTACCTACACAGCATTAGGTCTGGTACTAAACAGAGACCAGTAAACAAGGCTAGACAGTCTCTGGCTTCATGCAGTTTATATACTATGGAAGGAAAGAGAAAATGAACAATTTTGAGTATGACACAGGGGAGAAGTCAGGACGCTATACTATAGGAAAATGAAATGAGAGAACCAGCATCACAAAAACCAGGTGTTTTAAATACTCCCAAGTATGGACAACAAGTTTTTAAAGAAATTTATTTGGTTTCTTGGCGAGGTCAAGAATAACACTCAAAGAGTAGGATCATCTCTGCAAGGGCTGATATATTGAGAGAAGTCTACAAGTATCTCAGTAAAAAGGAGGTGAAACAGTAAAGGAGGTTCAATAGAATCATTTTTGTCTTTTACTCTTTCAAACACATGTGCCTGTCCCTGCATATAAAGACAGAAGGAGATGCAGAAAAGTGTTCACTTTTATGATGCAAATGAATTATATATTTCCTTTAAACCAATTTTACAGTACTATCAACTACTATTTGTCATAAAAAAGACAATATTATTGCAACACCATTCTGGGTTAAATAGCTGGCTGGCCCACAAAACACTTAATCACCTTTTAATATTGTTTCTGTGGATTAATTTACAACTTTTCAGAACACACATTTACAAATTAGGGCCACTCATAGCTTCATTAGCGTTAACATGAGATTAAAACCACCAATTCCAGTGCACTCTCCCTCCTGGGAGCATGCCTTAGCCTTTCCCCTCCTCCTCTTCTTCCCCGACAGGCATGCATCTCCTAAACTTTAAGAGACTCCATGAGGCTTTAGACCAGGGAAGCAATGGGCAGCAGCAGTTTGTCCGAGGCAAACCTCCTGAACCTGTCTTAAGCCACCCTTCTCTTTGACTGCTTAGTGAGCCAAAGCAGCTCAGCCTAGGCTCATTTCCCCACCTAGTCTCTCTTCTGTTATCCTAGACCAGTGATGGCGAACCTTTTGAGCTTGGTGTGTCAGCATTTTGAAAAATTCTAACTTAACTCTGGTGCCGTGTCACATATAGAAATTTTTTGATATTTGCAACCACAGTAAAACAAAGATTTATATTTTTGATATTTATTTTATATATTTAAATGCCATTTAACAAAGAAAAATCAACCAAAAAAATGAGTTTGCGTGTCACCTCTGACACGCGTGTCATAGGTTCGCCATCACTGTCCTAGGCCCTTTCCTGTTTCACTGTCCCCAGCTTTAATAAATGTTCTCCAAAATTCAAAGCAAACAAAAACAAACCACCAATTCCAACATGGCTTATTAAACTGTTCGGCTAATTTTAGTTTAAGTTAAAATATGTTGTCATACCTTTTATATACTTCTTCATTTGAGATGGTTAAATGTACAACCTGCAATCACTCCAAGCAGAAAAAGATCCTGCTACCTAAAGAGCAAGGGTCAGCTGAACTGAGGAAGGGCTGAGGCCCTGCCCCTTTGAGAAGGTTCCTTCCTTTCAGCATGGGTGTGGCCAGTCAGGCAGCACATTATCAGCCTCTAAGGAATACTGGTTTCTGGAGTGAGTACTGATTATGCATGTATAGTCCACTGATTAAAGATTACTGACCCTAAATCACAAATGTGGAAAGACATTAAAAAGTCACCTCTTCCCCCCTTTAGTACAGCAGAAACCAAAGTTCAAAAAAATGAATTACTCACGGTTAAAATTTCTAGCTAATCTATATATCTATATCTATATCTATATCTATATCTATATCTATATCTATATCTATATCTATAAGCCCAGTGACCAAAAGGTGGAATGACCAGAATGACCAGTCGACCAGTCGCTATGACACACACTGACCAACAGGGAGCAGATGCTCAACACACGAGCTGCCCTCTGGTGGTCAGTGCGCTTCCACAGTGGGAGTGCTGCTTGGCCCACAGCAGGTGCAGCCGCTGGGCTGACCAGGATGAGCAGCAATCCCACAACGGGCTGATGCCTGCAGGCCACACCCCCTACCAGTGCACAAATCCATGCACCAGGCCTTTAGTAATAAATAAAAATTACTGTGGGTACGATGGCAACATAGGAAGAACTATTTATTTCCCATTTCAAATGTGTTGCTTTGGGGTAAAAGTTTTCATTTTCAAAGTAAGATTTGTCTCTTGAGTGGTTAGCATCCACAGAACTAACAAAAAAGAAACAGAACTATAGATACTAATTATTTAGATACAAGGTATACTTTTCAAACTTTTCTTCAAAAACAGCCTTTGTGACATGGAGATATTAAAACAACTAGAATATAGGCAACCTATTTATATAAATTTTCCCCTCATTTCCTTAAATATTCAAAATAGCACTGCAAATTTCTAACACAAAGTGAATCAGTTTTACCAGGTGTATCAGTTAATAATGCGGACTTTGTAATCAAAGAAAACACGATAATTTCAAGAGAAACATCAAAAGTGCTTTATTCAAAGTAATGTCCATCACTAGCCACACATTTCCCCCATCTTTCAGGTAATCTGTAGATACTGTCCCAATAGAACTTTTCTTGTTTTGATGCAAACCATTCAGAGACCCAATTTTCCACTTCTTTGTACGATTTGAAGTGCTGCTCAGAAAGTGTGTGTGCCATCGATCGGAATAAGTGGTAATCTGAAGGAGCAAGGTTTGGTGAATACAGTGGGTGGGTTAATGTTCCCAGGCAAGATCTTTTAACGAGTCTAACTGGTTTTGAAGTGTGTGATGGTGCGTCGTC